ACACACACTCATACACACACACATACACATACACACACACTCACACACACTCATACACACACACACTCATACACACACATACACACACTCATACACACACTCATACACACACTCATACACACACATACACATACACTCATACACTTATACACACACACACCTACACACATACACTCATAGACATGCTCATAGACACGCACACTCATACACACACCTATATACACACACACCTACACACATACACACTCATACACACACACTCATACACACACTCATACACACACTCATACACATACACACACATACACACACTCATACACACATACACACACTCATACACACACATACACTCATACACACACTCATACACACACATACACTCATACACACACTCATACACACACATACACACACTCATACACACACACACACACACATACGCACACTCATACACATACACATACACACACACATACACACACTCATACACACACATACACATACACATACGCACACTCATACACATACACACATACACACACTCATACACACACATACACATACACACACATACGCACACTCATACACATACACACACACTCATACACACACACATACACATACACATACGCACACTCATACACAACACATACACACACTCATACACACACATACACATACACACACATACGCACACTCATACACATACACATACACACATACACACACTCATACACACAGACACATACACACACTCATACACACACACACATACACTCATACACACACTTATACACACACACACACCTACACACATACACTCATAGACACGCACACTCATACACACACCTATATACACACACACCTACACACATACACACTCATACACACACACACACACGTCCACACTGCACTGTGGACTCAGACCAGCTTCCAAGCATTTGCCCATGAGGTGACCAACCCTTCTAGACAGCTCTCCTGCCCTCTCCACAGTCCATCAGCCCCCACCCCACACAGAACAAAAGGAATCCAGAGGCCCAGGTGCAGCCTTCCCTGGCCCCACTGGGGCCTGTTTCTCAATGTGTGAAACGGGGGCAGGTCTCCGTCCACAGATCCAGCAGCTCCAGTCTTTGGGACGGAGATGGGGATGGGGAGGGAGGAGCAGCTTAGGGCAAGTGGGAAACAGGACAGAGGGGGTCTTCATATAGGAGCGATGGACCCTACACCCCACCATGGGCCACTCCTGGTCTCATCCTAAAAGGCTCCCCCAGCAGGATCCTCTGGGCGCTGAACTTGACAAAGCAACTTGGAAACTGCTGAGGAGTGGGTGATTTTCCCCTCCCCTCAGTTCACAGGGGGAAGAGGGGCACAGAGAGAGGCAGGATTGCCTTGAGGCCCTGAAGAAGTGGTGGGATCCTCTGTGACCAAGGACCAACTGTGCAGCCTGGGCCCACTCTTCCTAGGGCAGCGCAGGATCTCCAGAGAGAATGGCGACAGGGAAGTCCCCCAAGAGAACCCCAGATCACAGCAGGGTCCTCATCCACGCTGGAAGGACTCTAAGGGCGGGGGCCCGTGTCAGAAGGGTGGGTCTGGACCAAAAGCCAGGCCAACTGTGGGGCTAACCACATTGATGGAGCCAGGCTAGGCCGCTAATACTCACCCACAGCTGAGCGGGCGGTGTGATCACTGGTCCCATTCTACACATGAAGAAACTGAGCTGTAGAGAGGTGACTTACTGGCCTAAGTTCTTATAGAGTCTGAGACTCAACTGAGTCCAAACTCTACTTGACTCCAATGCCTCAACCACTGGCCACTACCCTAGACTACCTCAAAAGATTAGCTCACCTCATCTGGGAGACAAGAAAAGACACTGAGGTTCAGGAAGGACCACAAGCAGCCCAAGAGCATGCAGTGGGGTTCAAACCCAGGTCTACAAAATCCTGAATCTGTTGTCTCTGTGCCTTTTCTTGCCCCACCAAGAAGCCAAGAGCCAGGCTGCTATCACCAACCCATTACTCAGTGGAACAGACCAAGGCTTAGGGCCGAGCCAGCTGCTGCCCACATGGCCAACCAGTGTGTCTCTGTATAGAGTTCTGGGCTCAAGTCCAGGCTTTGCCTGCAGCCAAGTAGCCTCAAGACCCAGGCCTGGCCACTCAGGGCTTTGATTTCATCTCTGTAAAAGCAAGTGCTGTCTGTCCTGACTCCTTCCTCCTCATACAGACTGGGACATACTCCCACCTCAGCCCCGCCTGGCCATGGGCCCTCTCCCCCAGCTGGCGCCTGGCAGCCTATCTGGCTCAGCCCAGGGCCCTCTAACCCACTCACGGTGGCACCCACTGTGCAGAATGCTAAGACCATGGGGACCTCCAGTGCTCTCAGGATCCCCAGCCTGAGCTCCCAGCCCTGCCCACCACTAGCTTGAAGTGGAGCCTGAACCAACAGCCTCCTCTCACTGGCCCCAGTTTTCTCATCTGTACAACAGAAAGATTAAATCCTTTTTGGTAGGGCTGCCCGAGGCTTTGCTTAGCAGGCAGCTGGCACAGAGTGGAGACCCAGCATCGCCTACTGACAGGTACCCAGGCAGGCAAGTTACTGCACGAGGGGAAATTTCCTAGAGCGGTTTGCAGAATAGGATGGGGTGGCAGCCCCAGTCTCCCTGGCTTCTCAAGTAGAAACTCTCCTGGTTTGTGGACGCTCCAGGTCACAAGTCATCAAGTCATAATGGACTTTCAATTGCAGGGTTTCCCACCCCTTTACCCCAGTCCTTGTGAGCCTCTTTGATAGATGGGGGAAACTGAGGCCTGAAAGAAAAACTGACAATTTTGACAATCTAGGGCTCCCACTGTCTGCCTGAAGAGTCTAAGATGCCCACAATAGGCAGGGGTGCCGAACAGGGCAGGCGCTGTAGCAGACAGGGACAACGGGCCCTCCTCCCTGCTTCCTCCTGGTCCTGTCCCAAAGCGGGTGCAGGGAATGTAGAGAAGGCCACCCTCTCCCTCCAAACCCTCTTAGGTCGGGATGCTGCTGTCGGGTCTCTAAGCAAACCCTTCCCCTTGAGTTGCAGGGGGCACTAATTTGATAGGGGGTAGGCCTCCACTTCCCCAGTGAGTAACTGTCACACCTCCTCCCTCAGGAAGGGGATCTTTCCTGCTCAAGTTCCGCAGCCCCCATGGCTGCCCACCCCAGGAGAACCTGCAGGAGACGGAGGCATTGTATAAAGGGCTGGGGCTGGGGGGAGCCTCCAAAAATACCTTCGAACGTGCAATCCATGGCTCCGCGATCAGCGCCCGCCCTTGGGGCGTCCAGGCGGCTGGCCCTACCCCTCCTCGCGCCGACTTCACCTGTCAAGGCGCGGCGGAGTTTTGAAGCCGTT